ATCCACCGAGTCTCTTGTGAACCAACTAGAATTACCCGCTAAAAGCCCCTTCAAAGTCGCTTGTATACATCAACCTGAACTATATCACCCGGAAGATAAGTTAAAAGTCATCTGCGGTTATCTCGAGCTCAATTGTGACAAATTGATTTGGTCGTCTTTAATATGTCTGTTCGGGTAGAATACGATATATTGGTTATTCTGAGGTAAATAAGATGTGATATTTGTCAGATTCATAAATAAATTCAAAACTGCTTTGTCTTTTGTTACTCTAGATTATTTCCTGCGACCCATTCCCTACACTAATTCATGAGGATGAAGGTATGTTGAACTCTTCCTTGTACGGTTGCGGCGGATGACGAGAAATTTTGCCTTGTCTCACGTTCAATGTGTGTGCACATCAGGTACCAGTCGACATTATAAAGCCTCTCCCATTTGAACTTTTGATGAAGCTTGCTAGCATATTCAAGTCTCTCAATATTGCCCTTCTCCATTAAACCAACTCATTTCAATCAATCATCCCAAAGGTCTCTACGCGGCATCCATATCTCTCGACGCACTTTAGATCAGATATTTACCAAGCTTCTAGTGTCATGCGACTTGATGGTTCCATCTATTCATTTTGGCTGGCCCTGGCTTGCATCAGGTCTTGCCTTTGCCACCTCGATCACAGTAAAGAACAATCGTTTGATCAACTCAATGGCTTCTCACTCATCAAACCCCTTTGTATGGCACCAAACCTCACAAATCATTCAATCTCGTCATCCAGAAGCAAAATTTACGCTATGAACAGGCCTAATGAATTTCCAGAAATCTCTCCTCATCAAACCTTCAACTCAGATGGTTTAGTTTATAAATTTGATCAAATCAAACATCAATCGATCCGTGAGGATCATGAAGAATCGTCTCGTCTGGATGGATTTGTTCAACAAGAATGTTATCCTCATGAAAATGATATTAACGATGAATCATTTTGTATCTATCTCAATTCAAAATTTGCTCACGGAAGAGGTATGGTCTTCCTCTCTAGACCTTCAGTCTTCTTGAAAGCTCTCACATCAATTACAATCTTTAAACCCAATGAAAAAGTCTTAACAGATGAACAGAGAAATTTAAGAAAATTTGAAGTTATAGATATGCCAGAGAAAGGTGGAAAAGGTATGATTGCTAAATCAAGATATAATTTAGGTGATTTAGTTATAACAGATCATTCAATTATTGCAATTTCTGTTGAATCATTAGTTTGGGATAGAAAAGATTGGGGTAAAATTAGAAAACAAATGGTAGATTATTTACCAATCAAAACTAGAGCTGCTTTTGCTTCCATGCATGCGATAGGTGAAACAGAAGAAGCTTGGATCGAATCTGCTATTAGTAGAAATGGATTTGAATTTTCGATTGGAGATGATGAAGTACCATTCTTTGCTGTGGTTCCAGAACCTGCGTGAGTGATTGTATTCCATTGAATGATCCAAAATCTTTCTTATTTAACTTCTGCTGGTTGTATGATGTAGGAGATTAAATCATGATTGCCGTGCTAATGCAGCTTTCCATCTCGATGAATCAACTCTTCAAGTTTACATGTATGCCATTCGAGATATCTCACCTGGCGAAGAACTTACAATTTCTTGTACGTCAATACCACAATCACCTCACCCTCAAAAAAAGATATACAACTAAAGTTTTCCACCGATCTGGGTCTCTCTCTGGGGTTGAGTGTAGATCGAGATATGAAATTGACACGAGAAGAAAGAAGAAAAGAATTGAAACATTATGGATTCGAATGTCAATGTTCACTTTGTTCTTTACCATCACATGCTGTTGCAGTTTCTGATTCTCGAATTCAACAAATTGATGAGCTCACAATACACTTGATTGACTGGTCACCCACATCTAAAGCTACTCCTACGATGGCTGAACATGTCTTAGAGCTTTACAAACTGGTTTGTCTGATTTTAATTCATTTTTGACTTCATCACTATCTGAACGCAACAAACACCTGTTATCACATAGGAACGACTAGATGCAGGTTTAGAGGAAGCTTATACGATGGTTTCATTGGCATACAACGCTGTGGGCGAATCACAGAGGGCAAGTATGTACGCTTCTTTAGCTATAGCTCGTGGAATCATCCTCAACGGTCCAAAATGGGAAGAATACGATGCAGTACTTGAATTAGAGCGATCACCAGAGACACATTGGTCTTATAAGCGCCGAATAACATAATATTTTTTGCTTCATTTCTAAACATTCTCATTAGTCATTATCAATTGAGGTCGGGTCTTTTTAGAACGCGTAGCTTTTTTGTTCTTGGTATATATGTCTGGATTTCTTTAAGCGTGGAAATCATAGAACGGAACGACTGAAATTGGGGTTGTGATGTGATTACATTGTAAAGAAAATCAATATCATTATCTTCAGAGATCATGAGGATACCATATAGATTAAAGAGTTTGTTTGTCAGGTCAGTTCACTGATAGTAACATCATCTTCGAGCTACAGCTGTCAAATCCCACAACCGAAAAGTATGACAATTTAGACGCGCTTCTTGTAAGACCAGTGTTGTTCAGGTTCTCGCTCCAACTGCAAGACAGAATCAAAGTCCTCCCATTTCGGACCTGATGAGACAATACCATGAGCTAGAGCTAGAGAGGCATACATCTTAGCTCTTTCGGCATCTCCAACAGAGTTATAACTCAGTGAGGCTAATGTGTAAGCTTCTTCGATTCCATTATCCATTCTTTCCTAGTAAAGCGAAAACAAAAGAAGCAGATAGTTAGAATTAAATTCATGCTGAGTACTCAACCGACAGATTCGAGTAGAAACACTGACCAATCTAAACAAAGTGATCAATCTTTCTGACGTAGCTGGAGTAGCAAATGAATCAATTGACCAATCCTGCAGAATCGCGTCGAGTTCAAACATCTCATCGATCCTATCATCAGAAAGTCGAGCTGCCAAATCTGGTAAAGAGCAAACTGAACAAGTACACTCAAAACCGTAGTGTTCGAGTTCTTGTTGTCTTTCAAGACGAGGTAATTTCATATCTCGATCTACAGTTTTTGGAAGAATTCGTTTCTCATCAAGACTCTGGAGGTACATGGGAAAGATGATTTCCGCTCTGCTTGCGTGGTCGAATTTCTAAAGGAGAGTTGATCACTCACAAGATATCGTCAATTCTTCACCTGGGGAGATATTTCGGACCGCGTGCATCGAGACTTGAAGTGCGTGGTCATCAAAATAGAACGCCACGCTACATTTGAATCCAGAAGGTGTCAGAATCAGGTCATTGGCCCTAGAGTGATGTCATTACATGGATCTATGTGGAGTTCACTCACTTTGGTCTGCAGTCATGATTGAGTCGACTAAAAGCAAAAATATGCGCCGGCATCAGAATGATCTAACATCATAATAAGTTTCTTCACATCATATCGAGAAGCACCTCATTGTAAGGGAGCAAAAGAATATAACTGACGAGGGTGTAAGGACTAATGCAAAATGTAAGGTTGATTGATTCCCAAATCGAGTCTCGAATGAATTTCTTTCAATAATAGAACCAGCTAATTCTTCCTCATTCTCTCCAACCCCATGTAATTTAAAGATTTCATCCCTTGTCCTTAATGGCAACAAATTGATCCCACGTTTTCGTATCTTGGTCCAATCTGACCTATTAAGACTTTCAGGTTCAGAAGCAATGACTAACACTGGATGTCTTGTGATTACTGAATCCCCCAGATGTAATTTTCTATCAGATATAGCACCTTTTCCGCCTTTGTGAGCCATATCAATCACCTTGAAGGGCAAATCAGGTCGCTTGACGCGCTTTGATCCAGATATAGAGCGAAAGGGAGTAAACTGTTCTAAACCGTCTCTAAAATCTGTTATTCGAGTTATGAACACAATACCCTGACCTTGATCAAAATTATCATTAAGATATATACAAACCGGTTCTTGTTTCTGATCAGTGGGGTGTGGATAACACGAATCTCGAAGGAATCCGTCTCTTTCGAATTTGACAGGATATGATGAACCTGGTTTCAATTCTTGGTCAGAATCATAGGTATTGAAGGAATTTATAGAGTTTTCAGACAGCTTCTTGGTGGTGTTATCATATTTTAAAATATCTTGAAAGACTGTAGAATGGGCTCGACAGACTTGATCGTATGGTGACGCGATGTCAGAGTGAAATGCCAAGGAACATTGAAAATGAGATGAAATGATTAAAAGCGTATGAACCAGCATAGCTAAAGTAAGATAAAATGATATCATGATTTTGAAGCAGTTTGTGCAGAAAAAATGAGACTGAGATCTTTGATTTCGACAGAAACTTTGATCATGGAGGCGAGTAGATGCTGATATTTATGAAGAGAGAATTTTGAAGGGGTTTCATCCCACCTTCATAGTGTTAACATCCTCTAATAAAAATCCACTTTGTTGTCAAGATGAAGATAATGGTCAAAAGGAAACAAAAAACAACAAGGCACAAGGAAATATCACAAAGGATCGGATGATGAGCATTGCATATTGAGAACTAAGAATCCATAACAAATCATACGTCCACTCAATATGTGTCTCAATCAAGAACATCAATAACTCTTGAGCCTGAGATTCACCCTCCTTGAATTGCATTGACAAGTGCATTTGTATCAATTTGTCAACATAGACGCGCAATGAACCTTGCCGACTGAATTAAATTTGCGTCCAATAAATTTTTTCAATTTTCATCACACTCTCGAGTCATCAGTCAATATGAGTTCACTTCTTTTCTCGTCAAAGATACAAAGAAACAAAGAAAATTGCGCCTTTCGGTTTCAGATACCCATGAAGAAACTACCTTTACGCGCGGTATTCAATCAAAAACCATGATAGAACCTATCTCTAGATATCCTGCACTTCACCCGAAGGTCTCATTTGCAAAGTAGCAGGACTACCATGACCAGGGATACTGTCGATATGAGGACATATTAGTCCGATGTGTAGCTACAACACGCGTGTCTCCACGTGGAGGTTTGGCCGAGTGGTCTAAGGCGCTGTGTTTAGGTTGTTCGCAACGTAATCCGCAGTCTTCGGGCGTGGGTTCGAATCCCACAGCCTTCATAATTTTTGCGGTGAGGAAAGGTGAACTGCCACAAGAGATATGTTTTTGATTAGATTTGCTCGAAACGTAGCGTGGCAGGGGTCGAATATGTAGGTCGAGTCAAACAAATCGTGGGCCTGTAATGGTGGAGTGAAAATTTTATACCCGATGGAAATTTGAGACTGCTTTGGCAAGAATCAAATCACGTGCCGAGTTCAAAAATGTTGTAGGAAAGAAGTTTTCGGAGAAAAAGGTTGTTGCAGAACAAACCTAACTAAATCCCTCTAGACGAGGTGGTATGTACATACATACAGCTCATGGAATTGCTCTAGAGGGACTTAGAACTTGCTTGCAGAGGTACGTCCAGGTTTCAGATTGGTTTCAGATTGGTTTAGATAAGTCCGGAGAAGTTGCGTTCGGATTTCATAATCATTCTCACGACAAGACAGAAGACGTATAGAACTTGAAGGAAACCGAGTATGGCTGTCGAATCTCAAGCTCAGGTTATCAAAGACTTACTCGCAGGAACGGTAGGAGGGATCACACAAGTTCTGGTTGGACAACCCTTCGACATTGTAAAAGTCTGTCCTTCTCCAATTCGACATAATCCTCATTCGAGCGGCTGTTCACCTAATCGTGTGCTTTGCTTGAATAGGTTCGTCTACAAAGCAGCGATGCATACCGAGGTATGAATGACGCTGCTTTACGTATCTTACGCGAGGAAGGTCCCGCTAGCTTTTATAAAGGTTGTTCGATCAAATTTTTGACTCTGAAGAAATCGAATCGGTCATTGATCAAATTTCGAATCATCATCTTAAGAAAAGTCTAGGTACGACTTTACCATTGCTTGGGATCGGTGCATGCGTTTCTATACAATTCGCATTTCTAGAAGGCTTCAAGCGTTCATTCAGGTTTGTAGGCTTTCTTAGATCGCATATCATTATTCTTCAAGCATAAGACTGAGTAAAGCTGCTACGTTTTTTAGGCGTCAAAACCTTGCAAGCGGTCGGAATGAAGAACTCACTCTCGGGCAACTATACCTTTCCGGTGGAGGTGCTGGGGTAGCTAACTCTACCATATCAGGTACATCTCCTTGATTCCATCTTGAAGAATTTATCATTCAGAATATGGAACTAACACCATTGATCTGAATTGTTCTTGTATCTTAAGGACCGGTTGAACATATTCGAATTCGCCTACAGACTTCATCTCCAACTGCTCAGCATCGTTTACAAGGACCGCTAGATGCTTTAAAACAAATTTACAAAACAGATGGGATTAGAGGATGGTATCAGGGTCAAGGTGCAACTGTGCTTCGGTAAGTCAAATTTATCTCATGGTCAAGTATCTTTAGCTAAGAGTTTTTTTTTCAATCTTTCAATTGATCTAATCAGAGAGTTTCATGGATACGGAATGGTTCGTCTTCCCGTTTGCATGAGACTGGTCATCACTTCCTCTTGATGATTGAAGTTTGTTCTCATAGTATTTCCTCGGATATGAGTGGTTGGTCCAACGTCACATAAACCAAAATGGTGGAACGAGAAAAGATCTTGGCACTGGTTGGGCTATGTTGTATGGGTATGTGACAGCTTGATTTTCTTTTCATCTTTTGACTACCAGATGCATCGGCTCCCGAGCTTCATTCCAAGCTGACTAGAGGTGTGTCCTTGTGATAGAGCCGGTGCAGGTTATTCCATGTGGCTGTGTAGCTACCCTTTAGGTTAGTATGAGCTTATCAAGTATTAGGAGTCTTCAGTTTTCTTTACCAATGCCACTATTCACAATCTGGACGATTCATAGACCAGATCAAGACCAGAATTCAAACCGATGGTTTACCTTCTCAGCTCAATGATCGAAAATACCACGGGGTAGTAGATTGCGCCAAGAAGGTTTGGAGGGCAGAAGGCCTCAAAGGATTCACCAAAGGCTTAGCTCCAACATTATTGAGGTCAACATCATCATCGGGTTTGATCTTCATGCCCAGTACTGACAGATGATCAATTTCTCCTTGGCAGATCTCCGCTCGTTAATGGCGCAACGTTTGCCGCATTTGAAACTACCATGAAGCTACTTAGCTGATTGGGAAGGTGAAATGATCTTGATTGATGACAGTAAGCTATACATCTTGATCTACAGTCGAGGAAAGATCAAATTTCAATGTGGTATATTACCTCATCTTGTTGGGATAAGGTCCTTTTTGATGATAACATATGTGAGGAGCGAGTCAGGATGAGTTTCATTTTGAGCGTTCAATTTTGGTGAGTGATTCTGAATGTTTAAACCTTAAAAACGTTCTGAATTCATGTTGTCATCAATGTAAATATTCTACACGGGTTACGAAGGAACAAGCTTCAGCGAGTAGATGATTTGAAGCCTCTCAATGGTGACTGTGTTATGAATTCATGTCAAAATACTGATACCTCACTCTCAGCTGTTAGTGAGAGGAGAGAATAAATGATGATGTTCAGACTTGCTCATGTGCAGCAAATTGCATCGAGGCCAAGGCAAAGACGCACATATCATCATTTGTTCTGCGCGATTGGCGAGATAGAAGTCCTCATATCAAACAGTATGTAGCTGTACCAATTTACTTGACTAAAATCATATCTAAGAGAATGTGATAAACCCAATCTTCCAGCACAGCTCCAATATCACAGATGAAGACAATCCAGCACACTTGTTAAATAAGTCCTCATAGTTACCAAATTCATGACCGTGTAAAGGAATGTGTGAGATTCAAAAGTTTGCCCCTGGATGTATGCATACAGGCATATTAATGACATCAAAAGCTATTTTATATCAGCCCAACATCTTTCTAAAATCGTCTTGACTCTTCCCTGTTGAACCAGAAACCGGACCACTTTCAGACTTTTCTGAGACCTGAGGCACAACATGCGAAGGAGATCCTTTCAAAGGCTGATTTGCCGCTTGAGATCTTGATCCTGATGATGTTCCAGCAAAGCCCAAGCCCAGACGCGTTTTCTTCGCTCTTGTTGTCGTACGCGGTAGTAATGGAAGATTAGAATTGACAGTACTAGAACCTGCTTTGACTGAGCTTGAGGGTACAGATAACTCGACTTGTTGACCATTGATCAGGATGGCCTCGGGATGAAGGAAGACTGTACCGGCGTGCTGGAATCATGGAGGAAGAAATAGGAGTTCATTTTAAGGATCAAACAGAAATACGTTGAATGTATTAATGATGGCTCAAAATCCCAAGACAGCTATGGAGAGCTAAGAGGGAAGAAATGTCGGGACTCACTTGGGCGTTGGCAAATTCGACCACAGCCTCATGTTTTTCCAGATATGTGATCGTCTTCAGTACTTTTCCAAATGGTTCAAAAGCCTGTTGTACTATTGCTTCCTGAACCCCTTCCGGTAGCTTTGAGACCTTCACACATCGACTGCGCTGATCTACAGCTGAGCTGAGCTTAGACTCCGCCTGGAATTTTCCTTTGTGTTTTCCGACCAACGAAGTTCCCTTGCTATTTGAAATTGTTACTCCAATCCTGCGCTTCTTCAACTCAACGTTATTCATACTCAGTGCAGCCTTGGCTGAGGCCTTTAGCGTCGAGGAGAGTAAAAGGCCATTAGCAAGTTGGCGAATGAGCACCGCAGGGAAAATCGGTCCGCACCTCTGCCTCGAACTCAACAAATGCGAACCCCTTAGAATGGCCCTCCTCATTCAAAATCATGCGAACACCTTTGATGTCCCCGAACTACATAAAGCACGGGGCCATGTCAGTAGGGACGCTTTTATTGCGTACCAATCGAAGAGCAGCTAAGAATTGGATCATACTGGCTGAAATAATTTGCGCAAATCAGACTCTTGAACGAATTTAGTTAAACAGGTTATATATAGCTCCCGGTCATTTGCACCGACATCCGTTCGCGCTTTCTTCCTGAGCGGATCTGAAATAAACACGGACATCTTTTGACTGGGGGCTACTTCAGTATTGTGGAGCACTAGCGCGGACTGGGCTGAGTCCTAAAGGGCAGGTAAACCATGATGCAACGTCAATACTATTGTAGGCACGCGAGGCATATGTTGTCAGACCTACCGGCGATGTGAATTGAACATAACAAAATCTCCGAGTACTCTTGAATCGCTTACTAGGCCATCGTACATCGAAGATCTTACCGAACTATCGAGGACAAACCACTTTCGTCAAACAAGCCCACATCTTAGCAACTGGTCGAGTACACATACTTCACCAAATTTCGAACGTATCCATTCATCGTTTCCATCCTCAGGGAAGTTCGTGACATAGAGTGTCGAACGCCAAGCCAACGTCACGGAGACCTCTACATCCAATAACTGTTTTTTATCCTTGGTCTGTGCAGGTAAAACACTCTCCTGAAGACAAGGGGATAGATTTAATGTTGAAAAATCATAAGACACCTGGGAAATGTTCCAGAGTGCTGACCTTTTCCTGAAACTCTACGGTAGCTACTGTGTTATCGGCATCAATCCTATGAATGACCACCTCGCGAATTTTTCCACACTGTAACACATACAACCAATAAGTCAGAATCGATCAGTATCAATCTGGCATGTATCGTAAGTCACTCAAAACCACCCTACATCACGAAATAATTGCTTGATGTTGGACTCCGTCACTTTGGATGGAAGGCCTCCGACCAATACCGTAGAGTTTTCTCGATCTCTGAAACCAGACAAGAAAGTTAGGAAATTCCAAGCCGGCAGAACGTTGCGGACACCCTGGAATAGTAGAGGGTCTACCTTTTCAATTCTTCACCATCCACGTTTCGTGTAGGTGCCGAGTCTTATAACCACACGGCAAGGAAGTATCAGATTCCGATAATGTATGTAGTAAAAGAAGATGATGCAACACACCAAAACGTGCCCGTTTTTCTTCACCTCCATTGGGTATATCATCGGCCACCTCAGCTTTGCGTTTTTTCAAATCAGTGTCTACTTCGGTAGATGTTTGAGGGATTTCTTTTGTGGCAATTTCAGCAGGGCATGATTGACCACTCGATTGTTGAAGCAGAGCTG